CTCCGCCTCGGCCCTGCGGCCCCGCGCCACCGCTCCGCCCCCGCCCTGCGCTACGGCGGCCACAGCGGCCGCCGGAAGTGACGCCATCGCGCAGCAGCCCCGCGCGGCACGCGTGGGCTCTCGGCCCGCCCACCTGTAGGCAAACCAATCAGCAATCTCATTACTGAGAAGCTAAGGGGTCCCCCGGAGACTCGGCAATAAGCGCTGCCATGATTGGTCCAATTCAGCCTTACGAGAGCGCGGAGGGGCACGCCCCCAGCTGTGGCACGGCGGCTGGAGCGGCGCGGGAGCGGCACGGCGAGCGGCACGGCGGCGGCAGCAGCTTAGGGCTCTCAGGGAGGCGGGCGGGACCTCCTGCTGCCATGGCCGCCGCCACCTGGCGCTACCGCGGGGACCCCGAGGCGGATCAGCCGGCGGTGCTGGGTGAGGCGAGGGCCGGGGTGAGCGGGGCCGGGGCGCGGGGCAGGGGCCGCCGCTCGATCTGATGGTCTCTCCCCACCCCCGCAGTGCGGTTCTCCAACGGCAGGCTGCGGCGGCCAGACGCTATGCGGTTCACCGTTTACCGGAATCGGGACACGGCCCATCCCCGCAAGAAGCACCGGCGGATCCTGGTAAGGGCCCGCCCCACCGCGGCCTGAGCAGGCGCGGGGGCGGCTCGGGGTGCCGGTGTTGTCCGAAAAGTCGGATCCGCTCCCCGGTGAGTGACCGCCGGTCTCAGGTGCCAGGACGAGAGGCTGATTATTTGCCTCTGCGCTGCTGCGTGCCCGGTGGTTCTCCGCACATCAGGCACTGCCCTCGAGACTCTCCACGCGACTTTATGCACATTTTACAACATGATAATATTAGCGCCTCCTACCTATGTTCCATTGGTTAGTGATTTACATACGATTACGCCATCAAGTTATAGCTACCACACGTGCTCAAGGGAAGGGTTTTCACCTGGGCAAGGGTCTTCCTGGCCTATGGGTGTGATTTTTAGTATTGTAATGATGGTAGTTCTGCTTAGGACACTAAGAATTTTCAACTTTCTGCCAAGCTGACTAAGCTCAAAACATGTAGATTGGTAAGTAGAACCTCTACTCTGTGTATATGGGCGTCTGCATGCTGGGTAAATGACCCCGCTTTGGGACAACAGTTTCATCTTCAAGGTCCATATGCTTCTGTGTTCCAGGATGTTCCTCAAGAATAATAACAATCCTTGCTTTCCTTGATTAGGAGTTCTTTAATTAACTCATCCTCGCACCCAGGCAATCCCTGCCTCAGCAAACAGTGACAGGTTTCACCCTTTTATGCCCTTATGGCTGTGGTCATGGCAGCTCCTGCAACGAGGAGCTGGAAACCTCGGATGCACAGTCCCCATGGTCCTGCTGCGGGCAGGCTGCCATTCCTCCCCGCACTCCTGCCACCCTGCTCTAGCTGCTCTCCTTAGCCCACCGTGAGCAAGGCTCAGGAAATCTGCATGGAGCTTTGCTTTGCAGGAGATTTAAAAAAAATAGTTGGAGTTTAGTCCCAGCCTGTGCAAGAGAGAGAACAGTTTCCCAAAATTCACAAAATCTTTAGGATTTCAGCGGGAGTTCTTATGTGGTCTGATGCCACAATGAAGTGGGCATGATGGGGGTGGCAGAACAAGGAAACGTTTAATGTTCAGGGAAACCCCGGGCAGGGGGAGAGCTGTTCCTGTAGCCCATAGAGTGCTTGTGCTCCCACCAAGCCCATGTTTCTGCCAAGACCCCCAAGGAGAACCCGTGGTTCCACCCCTGGGCCCCAGAGAAGCGGGTGTGGGTCCTGCTGCCCCGCCAGGTCTCGGGTCTGTGGAGCCTGTCAGGATCAGACCGTGCCCTCTTGGGACAGAAAAGAACCTAATCATGCAATGTGAGATGTTCTGATTAATGATACTGAGAGTGACGTGCGAGAGACCTTTCCATCCAAACTGAGTTACTTGTTACTTGAAAAATTTTGATTGATACATGGTTGTCTATTCTCATGTAAAGGTTCCTTTACTGAAGTTTGTGTGTGTGCATGTGTGTGTGTTTGTGATTTATTTTAATAACTTAGTGGGAAATAACAGTTGAAAATTAAAAGCTCTTACTTAGCAGCTAGATAGGTGCATTTGACCACAAAATCTGTTCTGTTAGGTTTATGCAGTGAACACAGTGAATGCTTGACCAAAGAGTTGGGGTTTTTTTTGGTGTTGTTAGATAATAAGGAGATCTATTTCTTTCAGTGAAGAGAGAACCAAGCTTAAGGTCAGAAGATGCTTTCTGCTATTGTTGTAAAGTTTTACAGCTGCTTACATGCATGATTCACTCAAAATGACTTTTCAGCCAAAATCCTTAGGGGAAATATACTACCATATAGTAGAGACACGAACATTTTGGAATGCACTAAGGTGGCTCAGTCATTGCTGGTAGTGCTAGGTTTTTTTTTTTTTACTCAGTGAATATCAGTAACTCGGCAGTACTAGGGCCTTAAATGAATCATTGAACATTACATTTTAACCAAATTCACCTTACAGTGGTGGCTCTGCCCAGAGTGTGCCTTTGGCCCAGGCTGAAATCTGTAAGGTTTGTCCTGGCTGGAAGCTTAGAGGAGCTTTGAGCAGCTCTGTTAAGGACCCTAAAGCATTGGAAATAGTGTCTTAGATTCTCTGGTGGAGAGGCCTGATCTCTCCTCACTGGTGATTCTGTGAGTTAACCCAGTTTCTTTCACAAACTGTTGCTTCTGGATTGAAGTACAGTGGTCAACACATTTCAACTGCAATGACACCCAGGTTTGCTTCACTGGTAAACTCTAAGTTATGATTCCTATTATTTTTATGCAATGGTTCCTCATTTTCTGGCGCAGTGAAAGCTAAGGTAGAATTATATATCTTGGGTAGTTTCAGCTTCAAGAAATGATGTCTGTCTCTTAAAGAATTTGACCTGATGGAAAAAGTACCCAAAATGGGCAAAGTGGAGTTTGCCTACACATGACTAGTGTCCAATGCCTGGGAATATAGAGCTTTGTGTCACCAGGGAAATAACACAGATGGACAGAAAGTTATTCACAGCCCTGTACTCAAGTAATTTTCCTTTGTTTTTCAGGTCTCAGAAACTGAAAGACTTTCCTATGTGGGGAATAACTTCGGCACCGGGGTTCCGAAATGTAACTCCCTGTGCAGGTATGGGCCATGGGCTGCTGGCACAGTAGGGGTAGGAGCAAGGAGGTGGAAGTGGAGGAATTGCTCAGACCCAAAGTTCCTAGCAGCCTTTCTTAAAGCTGGCTCAGAAGTTCCCACAGAGGCCGTGGTTTGAATCAAGAGGACTCTGACAGGAGACTCCAGCGCCTGGCAGCTGCATTGGTTTTGCACATTACATTCCCTTGAAGTTGTGGTGTTAGATACAAATAGAATGTATTTGTGAAGGCCTTGTGAAGGAAAGGGTGAGGAGATGATTTGATGTAGCTGAAACCTAGGAATGACAGCTTTGTTAGTGAGAAACTAAGAAATTAAGATAATCGCAAAGATTAAAAAAATGACCATTTAACTTCAGGGCCACAGCACAATGCTGCTATGTAAACTAATAAGTTGTCTGTGCCATAAACTGTAAAAGGAAGCATTGGTGAGACCACCAGCCTTTACATGTCCAGATTTAAGAATGTGACCTCTGTGGCACTGGGGCAGATCCCACTGGCCTCCTAAGAAGTATTCTGTCTGTCAGATCTTTCTTGTTCTGTAATAGGAGAACCACCAAGTAGATGGGGAGCCAATGTGAAACTGTCTTCCCCTGTTATACCCAGAGGTGTTTCTTTTCTCCTTTGATGCATGCTGCTGCACTTGCCAGCCTACACAGTGCTGAAATGCACGTCATGTACACGTCAGGCTCCTGGTACCAAACACTCTGCTCTGTAGATCCACCCCAGCTGCCCTGCATGCTTTGCTCATACAGCTCATCTCTTCTCTAGCTGGTCTGCACTGAGCTGGTCGTGTTTGACTAGTTAAAGTACAGGTGGAATGAGGGAGTGAAGAGCAAACAGCTGTGTAAAACTACTAGGAAGAGGAGGTGCTTTCAGATGTTAGTGCCCTGGTGGTCCTATGTTCTGAAAAAGACTTGACAAGAGGAAGCATTTCTTTATGAGGATGGTGGTCAAACACTGGAATGGGCTTCCTGGAGAGGTGGTCGATGCCCTGAGCCTGTCAGGGTTTAAGAGGCATTAGTGCCCTCAATAATTTGCTTTAACTTTTGGTCAGCCCTGAATTGGTCAGGCGGTTGGTCCAGGTGATCATTGAAGGTCCTTCCAACTGAAATACTCTGTTCTGTTCTATAGTTGTGTAAACGGAATTTACACCCCTGTTTCATCCACTTTCACCCCTGCAAGTAGTCTCTTAAAACATGCTAATACTCATCTTTGTTCTTTCTGAGAAGCGAAATCAGAAGAGCTGGACCTTCAGATGTTACAGTCTTCAGCTTAAGACTGTAGCTAAGAAAGGCAACGAGGGCCTTTTTCTTCTTCAGTTTGGACAGATAAATTTAGTTTAATGAATATGTATGATAGAGGTATCAATGCAGTATTATTTCTAGGCAGATTTAGCACTCTTATCTCTGAACACTTCACATCGCTAATTAAGATACGGTTTTAGTGACTTAAGTGGTTCGTGGCTGCATCTCTGGAGATCCTGAGCTATGGAAACTACCAAGGCGAGCTAACCACTGATATGTGTTCAACTTAAGTATTAGCGTTGCATTAGGTGTGTACATGTGTCTGCATCCAGAGATGCAGGCAAGAATCAATTAAGTAATTGCTTGCTTTTCTTTCAAGTTTTCCCACCCCATTTTTCTGTCCCTTTCCTCCCACACCTGCTTCACCTGCATGCATGAGGATTTCCTCCAGTGGATCTATTCCTGTAACTCTTGGCAGCTGTCGGCCTAAAACTGTGCACTCAGCTGCTAATGTCATTGTAACAGGGAGCAGAAACCACCTCTGAGCAAACAGCGATTTCTCCTGAGTGGAAAGGCAGTGAGTCTGCCAAACCTCTGGGCTTCCTGGGACTGCAGGGACTGCCCAGAGATCTTTTCTGGCCAGTGGAGTGCTGTGATTCCCACTACACTTGGGCAGCTCCTCCAAGGGCAGTTGCATAGAGAGTTGTCCTCCCACTGCAACAAGCAGCCTGCTGGGCCAGCCAGTTTTGTCTTCAGGAAGCACGTCCTGAGTTTTAGGAAGATGTGTTATGGCGCAGAGCTAGTTCAGGCACTGGTCAGAAGGGATCACGTGGAATAAGCTCTTCTGGCTGGATAAGAAGCTGGCACAGTTGATACCCAGGTCTCCTTCAACCAAGGGTGACATACAGCCTGTTGCTGGTAGCTCATGAGACATGGTGAGGAGCAACACAAACCGTTTGGGCTTTCCCCTCTGAAGTGTGGGATGAAAAGGAAGATACCTAAGAGAAATTACTCTGGTTTAGACACAGCAGAGTCAGATTTCTGAAAAGCTCTCAGGACTTAAAGTGACTTGTACTAGACAGAGGGCTGTCCACAGGGAACTCCAGTTTTAAAAACACAAGAAACTGCATAGATGCACTGAGAAACTAAGGATCGTGGCACGTCAGAAAAGACAGAATAGCAGCTAGGACTCTGCCACCTAGACTTTGTGCATTTTGAAGCTAATTTAATTTTCTTAAGATTGCCAGATTTACTTAGAGCTACAAGTATGTATGTATACAATGTATGTGTGCATATATATATATATTGCATGCCTTGGAGGTAACTTGTTTTATTGTGACATTCTGAATGTGCTTTGAAAACTTGTATTTGCAAGACAAAAGAATTGGCAGGGGGTAGGCAATACACATGGCTCTTCACCATGTATTTTAAAACGTCATTTCCACTGGACTGTCTTGCTAATCACTTGCCCCTGTTCTTCCCAGGTATTTTGTTGGTGTGTTGGACAAGGAGTCTGGGCAAATGGAAGTGTATAATGCTGAAATATTCAACATGCAGCCCTTGCTGTCAGGTAGGAAGACACTGTGTTTAACGCCAGCACCAGAGTCACAGCGTGCGGGACTTCTGTGCGCACTCACCTATTGACTGCTGACAGCAGTGCTCTCTGCACCTCCCTGGCTGCTCTTTCTTCCTCACTTCTGCCTTATTCCCTCAGCATGGAGGTGGGAGGGTACGTTACACTTGCTTTCTAAGGCAAGGCATGATGTGACACACAGAGAAAATGAAGCAAGGTGAAATTTTGGGTGGTGCTTAAGCAGGGTGTCACTGTGGGAGGGTGCAAATGCTGGATTCACCAACGAAGTTGTCACTGTTCAGAATAAGTGCAGCCTTATCTAGGTCTGCTCTGCTGAGAGAAGCCTGGAAATTAGCAGGTCAAGGGACCAGATAACTAAAAAGCAAAAGAGCTTTTCTTCAGCAGAACTGCTTTTTGTTACTGATCCCAGGAGGATAACCCAAAGAATACAGTCTTCTGGGAGCTTTTGGGTTTTGCCCTGTGCAGCAGGAGCTGGGTATTGCTGCAGTCCATGCTTTATAGCAAAAATTGGCCTGTTTTTCCTTTTTCTGTTCTGGGTACATATTCATATTCAATGTGTTGTTTAATTGACAAAGTCCTATCTTTAAGGAGGAGATCTTTAAGTGTTGTGCCAAGTCTTTCAGTAATGGATTAGAGCTAAAGGGATATCAAATAAGCGTGCTGTCCTGGATGCTGCAAGCCAAGCATACTAACTTTTGTTCTGTTGTAGATAACTTAATACCTGACGACACAAAGGAGTATCAGAATAAATCATACAGGGAGAAGGTAAAGTTGAAACCCTATATGGTGTTGTACTGTGATTCTCCAGCTAACAGCAGCAGATGACACTTCTCTGAGGCTGTGATGTTTGTTTTACTGCAGGGTAAACCTGCGCACACTCAGCACTGTCTCTGTGCCTTGGAAGTTTATTATGCACCACATTATTAGTGCCTAACTTGGAAATATTTTCATAATTATTTCAGACCTGAATACAATCCCAGTTACTCCCTGCCCCCTTGCAGATCAGTGCTTGTTGTTTGGTTGGGTTGTGCCCAGTGAAATGTTTGATGTTTTCTTAGAGAATGTGAATATGGAACAAGTAGTGGTCAGCTGGGCTTTCCTCTTCAATGCAAAGTGTGATTTTGTGTAAAAAGTGAAAGTGTGAAAAGTTCAGCAGTGTGATTTAATTTGCTTCTCTCTTGCATAGATGGATTTGTGTATTGAGGCCTTTGGTACCAGCAAACAGAAGCGGGCTCTGAGCTCTCGACGAATGAATGCAGTTGGCAATGATATTCTGAATACTGCTGTGACAAAAGCAGCAGCAAACATCATAGATGCAAAGGGAGTATCAGGTAAGAATATTGCCTCAGGGTCACAGCCCCATCAAGTGCCATCCCCCATGCTGTTTTGAGTCAGACTGATGGACTTTGGCTTCTGCTGTGGAGGAACCTGCAGCAGAGAGGAGTCCACCATGGCCTTAGGTATTGTCACTGCTGCAGGGAAAGTTTGTTCTCCAAAGCATCACACTGAGGTAATGATTCAAGGAGAACTTGGTGCTTATGAAGCTGCATCTGTTGTCCAGCCCATGCCACCCCCCTGCACCTCTGCCCTGATCAATAAGGAGGTGGAGAAATGGCTGAGGAGTCATGGCAGGGCAGCAATAGTGGGCAGGGACCTGCAGCACACAACTGTAAAGGAGAGGCAGAGGGGACTGGGCTTGGTCAGCCTGGCAAAGAGGAGACACAGCTACCTGAAGGGCAGCCAATGCCCAGCCCTTTTCAGCAGAGCCAACAAGGCTCAATGGCCCAAGTTGCAGTGGTCCCTGGACCATGGGAGGTCCATGGGGGAGACTGGGGAAACCTTGCCTTGGAGGGTGGTGCAGACCTGAGACAGGTCACAGAGCAGTGTGGAGTCACCATCCTTGGGGATTTCCAGGCTTTGGCAGGACAAAGCCAGAATTGCCCTAATCTAGTGCTGTAGATAGTCCTACTCCAAGCAGGAGATTGGACAGGAGACCTCCAGAGCTCTTTTCCACCAATTCTTCTGGGATTCTGAGTTTCATTGCTATGAACAGGAGAGATATCCGTTTACTGTGGAACCCGTCAGCTCTCATCCCCGTGTTCTGGGTTGAGTATTAACAGTCCTCTCAGAGCTGCTTTATGCCAGATGGATGTCCCATGGAACCCAAGGTGCCAAAACCATATTCTGCCCACCAGCAGGCAAGAGGTGCAGCGGCAGCAACCAGTTTGTTGTGGTGCACTTCTCTCCTAGATTTTTCTCTAGTCTGAAGTCGCTTTTATAAAATTTTGAGGAACAGAAAATTCTTGGTGGAAGCAATGACACCAGTCTAAAACCCAGCATACTCTTTACATGGCAGGCACATAAGAAGCTCTCAGCATTTCTGTGCCTACGGAAAGCTTTCTGTACAGTCAGCACCTACATGTGGCAGTAATGAAACAAAATAGGGAAGAGCTGTAGCCTTTTCCTTACTACTGACCCAAAGGAAATAAACTGAACTGGAGTTCTAAACTTTTAAAACTCCGACTGTGACTAAACTGGTGTTGACCCAAGAACCACTGTTGAGTAGACTTGTTTTTAAGAATGGATTTGAGCTGTAATCATTTTCTTTGAGTTTTTGTTCGCGTGGTCCAAATAATTTTCTTTTTGTTTCCCTCCAAAGCTTTGATCCAGGATGTGGCCCAAGATGATGTACAGAACATCTCCGTCTTCCTCCCACCTTGTAATGAAGATGCTGACAAACCAGAAAATGTTTACAAGTTTGAGGACAGTATCTTTTCTGTGGCAGAATGGTTTCCCATGCCTTTAAGCCTCGATGTCAGTGGTCTGGCATGTGTGAATGAGCTGAGCCTTCTCCCTTCACAAGCTGAAAGCTGAGAGCAGGGACATGCTGTGAGATTGTTTTGGGCCTGCAAGTCTCATATTCTGCCTCCTTCCCACAGAGAGCTGTGCCCAAGATGCTGTTGCCTCCCTGTTGGCAGCAGTTTGACTGGAAGTGGTAATGAGGCCAGCCATGCAGGGGCGGTGGCTTGTGGTTGAGCCACAGTCCTTTGGAGCTCTTTGTTACTGGCCAGCTTCCTAATCTTGTCGTTATGTCCTGCCTATTTATAATTTCCTGCCCTGCCCCACACCTCCTAAACAGACCTAAACAGCTGTTCAGACCAGAAGGGAGAGCAAAGGCACACTTGTTACTTTCTTTAAAATCCTTCCAGTTCTGTCCCCAGCAGAGTATGAAGCATTGCGGGTTCCAGCAGCAGCCTTTGTTAACATCACTCCAGAAGAAATCACCAAGAAGACAGAAGATAAAAGGTAATGCTGGTCCCAACAGCCTTGTAGTAGTGGAGGTGGGTCCTGTGATGCTGTGGTCTTCCTGTGGGGCAGGATGGCTGCTGCTGCCAGCTCCGCTGATCTTTCTAGTGCAGAGAGGCCACGTTTGATCCAAGCAGCACCTGCCTTGGGGAACGCGGAGTATGGCTTTACAGGTGAGGAAGTTGTGTGCACAGCAGCACGGCTGTGCCTTGGGGAGCCCATTGCAGAGGAAGAGAGAGGAGAAACCCAAAGTGGGGTGTGAAGGCAGGTGCTGAGAAGGGCAGCCATGGACCTGTGCTGGGCATGGTGTGCCCGTGGCTGGGCACTGTCCCAGACGAGTACCAGCTTGCTGTGGGAGTTGCTGTGGCTTGGCAAGCTGGCATGGACAGATGCTGAGAGCTGTTGAGTCCTTGTGCTGAGGGGCAGAAGTGAGCAGGAAAAGCACAAACTGCACCTCGCTCCCTGTGCCTCCTGTCTGTGCTGGAGTAGAAGCGTGATTGTGTGCCATGTTGAGAGCCTGCAGCTTCTGTAGTGCAGGGACCTTCTTGTTAGCTGCACCAGGGGGCTGGCGGAACGTGACCGGCATTGACAGGAAAGTGCACTCACAGAGCAGCTTCCTGGGCTGTCCTTTGTAGCTGTCTGGGGAACTCTTCTCAGAAAGCTAAACATTGAAGTTACGTGTGTGTCCTGTCCTTCTGAGGATATAAACTGGTTCCTGGTTCTGTGAGCCTCATCATCCCTCTCTTTCTCCCTCAGCCATTGCTCCTTTGTTTTAGAGGAGCTGAAGTTCCTGCCTGATGATGAGAAGAGAAGAGATCACAAAGCCCGATGCCTCTGGTTCCTGGACACCCTCATTAAGTTCAGCTGCCTGAAAGTGATCAAGAAGAAGCGTAAGAGAGTTTTCAGCTCCTCCACATTTAAGCTCCCTGCTGAGACCTGGTTTGTAATTACTGCAGTAGAGAACAGTAAAGCTGCCCAGAGCAAGCTGTGATCAAACTTCTGGCTGCAAGCAGCTGCTTCCAGTCTTTTTCATGCTGAGGTTGAGGATCTCTGTGTTGTGTTGTTAGATCTGCACCTGCCAGGAGATGTATGTCTAATCCTTTTCAGTCTCTTAGTAACTGCCATGCATCAGGATGGCACCATGAGATCCTCTTGGTAGGAGACAGCGTAGCTTAGATTGGAAATTTTGAGATTCTTTCTAGTTCATTGATGATTCTATACTTATAGACATGTTTGATATTTTCACACGTTAGTCCTCACCCAAAGGAGACACAGGAGTCACCCTGTAAAACTTAGTCAAGGAGGATGTGGAAATGACTAGTCTTGGTGCTAATAGGAATTTGTTAGTGTGGTTTCAGTTTTAATAATGTTTTGTGACAGGGCCATCTATTAAAAGGCAGGAATCTATTAAACACATGTGTAGGCACACGTGCACACCTTTTAGATTGTATAGTACTGAAGTGAGAGATCCTGTTTATAAAGAAAAGCTGTTAGGAGCTTGTCTCTGACCCAAAAAACAATGAGACCTAGAAATCAAGTGCCCAGGTTCCTTTTAGGTTCTCTGTGTTCCTGGGAAGAGGGGATAAATGTTGTGGTAATAGATGTGCTATTATGGTAGCAGGAGACAGGCAGTAACAAGAAAGAGTATGTATTTCTTGTTCCACTGCAAACCTCCTTTCTGTTCTAGATCCAATGGGTCCTGAATGCCCACACATTATTAGTAGGAAACTCATGAAGAATTTCACTTCACTGACCTACAACGACGGCAGGTAAGGAGATATGTTTGCTTTACTGCTCTTGAGGCAGAGATAGGGCAGAGTTCAGCTTGAAGGGCCATGGACACATCAGGAAACCTCCTACCAAAATGGGAGGTGGCAGTAGCTTCTCTTGCTTCACACCCCCAGCCCTGCAGAACATTGGGTCAGGGCTGGTGGTAGCCCATTTTAGAAAGAGCAGGTCTAAAACATGACTGGAGAAGCCAGGACATGTGTGCAAAAAAAAGTCTGCACCTCTGGAGTTAGCTACTGTGAAGAAGTGGGTTGTCCAGCCGTCAGCATGGCTGTTTCTGGATGCAGGTTGGGAGAGTGGGTGCTGGTCTGCAGCTGACCCTTGCCTGGGCAATTAAACAGGCAGATTTCTGCATGCAGTGTCACTGAACCAAGGCAGCTGACGGATGTGTCAGCTCTTCCACTGTCCCAGAGTGGGTCAGGGCAGAGGTACTGCCGTAGCTAAATAATGGTGCTTTTTTTACACTCACATAGTTTAATTGGCATAACAGGGACACTTTTACCTGAATCCAGACCTTGGATTCTCCATTGAAACCTACACAGACAGAACCACGTAAAGATTTGCACTGTTTAACTGATGCTGGGCTGACATCTGTACCCTATGGGTACGGGCCAGAGAGTTCTGCCTCAGCTTTGCCTAGGCATTGTCCCGCCAGCAATGACAAAGTTTGGTATGCTAAGGTAGGGTCTGGTCCTGCTGTGATGGTCAGCCAGGAGAAGCCACCACCCGCTGACTGGAGCAGAGGCTGGGAAGGTCCTGTAAGATCCTTTCCAGCCATGTCAGAGCCATTTGTGTGGTGCTGACTGCTGTCTCGCTGCAGGGAGCTGCTGGAGGCTGCCTTTGACCGGCTGACCTATGGCTGCAGCATTAAGTAAGGCTGGGCTTGTTCAGCCTGGAGAAGAGAAGGCTCTGGGGAGACCCTTAGAGCCCCTTCCTGTCCCTCAGGGGGCTCCAGGGAAGCTGGGGAGGGACTCTGGATGAGGGAGGGGAGCCCTAGGAGGAGGGAGAAGGGTTTGACACTGGAAGAGGGGAGATTGAGATGAGATGTGGGGAAGAACTTTGCTATGAGGGTGGTGAGAGCCTGACACAGGCCAGATTGGATGGGGCTTTGAGCAGCCTGGTCTGGTGGGAGGTGTCCCTGCCCAGGGCAGTGGGGTGGGTCTAGATGATCTTTGAGGTCTCTTCCAACCTGAATCATTCTGTGATTTTATCCCACTTAGAACTAACTAGTTATAAATTTGGATAAATGTTTTCAGCAATCCTCTTGAGTGGAAGCACCAAAATGCAGGCAAGAGTGAACAGTATCCTCACTCTTGCCATGGTGCCTTCCCCGGGGTGCCCCCGCTCGGGGCACCAACAGCCTCTGCACAGGCTCAGCCACCACATGGCTGTGCTATCCTGAGCAGGGAGTTGGAGTCCAGATGGGCCAGCACCTGTCTGAAGGCTCAGACCAGTGACAAGCAGTCAAACGCTCCCAGGATCCCAGACAGGGATCTGCCTCATGTGGATTGTGTGTTTGAGGTGCCATTAGTAGTTACATGGAATGTCCTCAGAAGAACTTCCCTTTCCTTTCTTCTTGCAAGAGACTAGCCTCCCAAAGAGGACACTGAAGTGCCAGTAGTTGGTGATTTTTCAAGGCTGCCTAGTGATAAGCACCTGCAGGGGCCCGCACTTCAGTGGGAATAGGCATGTGAGGAGGACAGAGAAGCCTGTTAGGCCCCTGTGATCAGAGATCCCTGTGCTTTGAGCTCTTTTTTGGTGTCTAGGAAAAGTTAATAATAGAATTGTCTAGGTTGGAAGGGACCTTTGAGATCATCTAGTCCAACCATCAACCTAACTCTGATAAAAAAGCAAAAGAAAACCATACAAAATAAACTGCCACATTACTAAACTGTGTCTCTAAGCACTATGTCAACCCATCTTTTGAAAACCTCCAGGGATGGTGCCTCCACCACTTCCCTGGGCAGACGATTCCAATGCTTAATAACCCTTTTAGTGTAAAAATTTTTCTAATAGCCAACCTGAACCTCCCCTGGTGCAACGAGGCCATTTCCTCTTGTCCCATCGCCTGTGACTTGGAAGAAGAGACCAATCGCCACTTCTCTACACCCTCCTTTCAGGAAGTTGTAGAGAGCGAGGAGGTGTCCCCTCAGCCTCCTTTTCTCCAGGCTAAACAGTCCCAGCTCCCTCAGTCTTTTCTCATAAGACTTGTGCTCCAGACCCCTCACCAGCTCTGTTGCCCTTCTCTGGACCCGCTCCAGCACCTCAATGTCTTTTTTGTAGTAAGGGCCCCAAAACTGGACTTGAGGTGGGGCCTCACTAGTACAAGGGGACGATCACCTCCCGAGTCATACTAACCACACTGTTCCTTATACAGGCCAGGATGCTGTTGGCTGCCTTGGCCACCTGGGCACACTGCTGGCTCATGTTCAGCCAACAGTTGACCAATATCCCCAGGTCTTTTTCTGCCAGGCAGCTCTCCAGCCACTAACTGGGGCTCCAGTTGTGTCTGCACCTCGTGGGGGTTGTGTTTTGGGTTCACTAACACTCCACATCTCACGTGTTCTTGCCATGCAGTGTCCAGAATCTAGTGTCGGCATCAATGAAGGCTAAAATCACAGCATACGTCATCGCATTGGCTCTGCACATTAACAACTTCCAAACAGACCTCACCATCCTGCAGAATGACATGAAGCTCCAAGAAAGCAGGTGAGTTGTTGCATTTGTTCATAGGAGCTGAGATATACTGTGATCCTCCTACAGAGAGCTCTGGAGCCTCTCTAGCACCTGGGTAGTACTGTGACACCCGCTGGCGAGTCCCTTTTGTAGTTGGATTCTGTTTTACATGACTCTGTTGAAGCATTGTTTTGAAGCCCTGATGCTCACGAAGGAGGGTGGTTCTACATCTCAAACTTTGAAACTCAAACTTTGAACTTGTCACAAAGAGGTTCTCGGTGCATCAAGAGGCTCTCCAGCTATTCTGCAAGGACAGGAATGGGGGCAGGCAGCACCAAAGCGGGCAGATTCCAGAGCAAGACCTGTCCGCTGCCATCCAGCCCCATTTCTTGCCTGACAAATCACATCACCCTTCACCTTCCTGTCTTCTGTGCCACTTCTTCCTGCCAGGCTCCAGTTGGGTGGGGGTCAGGTACCACTCTGGGTGGAAGTTCAGGTTTGCAGCTGACTGCAACAGGAAACAGGGATTTTTTTATTTTCCCCATAATTGCACTGTTGGTGTTTACATGGAGGAACCCTAGGCCCCTGAAATTTACCTACTCTGGGTTTGGCACCAAGGAGATTGGTTTTGTTTCTGAAATACTGATCGACTTGGGGACTTTTCAGCAAAGCATCATGGGGACAGGTTGTGGGAAGAACTGCTGGCCATAGTATTTCACATGAGGATTTGCCAAATCGGAGTTAGTGAGGGTGAATGGGTAGAAGACAGCTTGCAGAATAAGCTGCAGGGCAAACACCCCCTTCTGTGTTAGTTCTTGGGGGCAGTTGTCTAATTTTAATTTTCCATGGAAGAATACCCGCAGTGTGTGCCTCCTGTTGGCTGCAAGGCCTGTTCTTCCCAGCAGGTGTCAGTGGAGCCCGCCCCAGCTCCTGTTGGTGCTGCCGCCTGCTCGGCCCCTGCGGAGTGTGTCAGTAACGGGGCTGTTCTGTCGGACAGAGTGTGTCAGTAACGGGGCTGTTCTGCCGGACAGAGTGTGTCAGTCACTGAGCTGTTCTGTCGGACAGAGTGTGTCAGTAACGGGGCTGTTCTGCCGGACAGAGTGTGTCAGTCACTGAGCTGTTCTGTCGGACAGAGTGTGTCAGTCACTGGGCTGTTCTGTCGGACAGGCCACAGGCGTCAGCTCAGTGGCAGCGTGTTAGCACTGGCTGGAAGGGGTCAAGTGGCCTAGTTAGTGACAGTTCAGCCGTGCTCATTAGTGTCTCTCCCACACTGTCTGCCTCTGTGGGTGATGGTGATGCCAAGGACATGTGCTTTCTAATGCAGGCATGTTGCCTTGTCTTATCAGGATTGCTCAGTTGTGCAGCTGGGTGGCAGCTGTGGAGGGACACAAACCCCTCCTGCAAGTGGGACAAATGGGGACTGTCCTGGGGCTTCTGGCTGAGGGACAAGATGCTAAGATCTGGCAATAACTGGAAGTTATCAGAGCCCTTAGTCACCTCTTGCTTTTGCAAGCTCCCTAGTCAGTCTTGACACAAATACTTCCGATTTTGCCCCCTGTTATGCTTTGTATTCTTTGATAGGCAGTAGTGAGTTTAACAGCAGTGTTTGCTGTTGGTTTCTATCCAGTTTTTTCCTTCTTTTTCTTTTCCTTTTCAGAATTGGGCTTTTTAAGGAATCCACATTGGTTTTCCCAGCTGACACCCAGGTTTTGTTCTTAGCTGCTGTTCTGGAGCTGGGAACACGGGGCATAGGATGCTGTTGAAGAGGGTGGATGAGGCTGGGACCTCATCCACCCTGGGTGGGTGAAACCTGGGATGGGACCTGGAAAAACTGAGGAGAGACACAAGCCCTGAGCTACCTGATGGGATGGTTTGACTGAAGAACCCTTTGCAACTGAATCTATGAATAATGCCTCTCTTCCTCTTCATAGGGCAGTGGAGAGCAGCGTTATTTTTTCTCAAGTCAGCTGATGATTGAGTAAGGCAGCTCTCTGAGGTGGCAGTGCCCTCCCCAGGGACGCTCTGCCTTGTAGCCTTTGATCTTCTGTCTCCATGGTGTCCTTGAGATGCAGAGAAGGCATCCTGCTTGCTGGTGCCTCCTGGCTTCTCCCCCGAGGCAAAAGCCTGTTGATCTTTGGTGCAGTGTTATGGTACAGAAAACTTGTGTGTCCCACTGACGGTGTGTCTCTGGTGTTTTCCAGGATGATGGACATCGCAAAGGCCATGCGATTGAAGGTCTCCAAGGCAAAGGGGCTGCCGGGACTTGAGAATGATCAGAACCACAAGCTGGGCACTCTCTCTCTCCCCTTGCCTGTGCAGAAGGCATCAGGGAACCAACGAAAGCGCAGGAAAATGAATTAAAATGTCTGGGAAGTCTCAGCAAAAGCAAAACAGTTCATTCCTCAGCTGCCGTTCTGCACACAGTCACGGGGATGCTCTTGTCTGTTGGATTTGGCTGTTGAGCACCACCTCTGGACCCTGCCGAAACCCTGTCTTGAGGCTAGACTGGAACAGATGATCACCTTATTAAGCTGCTTCTTTTTTTTGTATTTGTGTAGAAGAAAGCTAGAATAAAACCTTTTTATTTTTTCCTGCCTATATGAGAGGAGAAAGATGTGCCAGTGCAGGAGAACACTGAAACCACAGGTCTTCCACTGACTACTGTCTGGTTCTGTTGGCTCGTGGCCCATTTTACCCCCTTTTCACACCTGCAAGGTAGAAACCATAGAAAGAGAGAGAATAAGCAAAGTCTTGGGAGAGGGAATTCTTGGCTAGTTTCTCTGCATTCTTGGTCTAGTCCTGGGCTACAAGCCTCACTGCAGGTGTGTGCTAAGCAAGGTTGAAGGAATCTTGTGAAACGCTGAGGATCACCTCCAAGAAAAAAAGCTAATGTGAAACAGGAGCCTGGGATATCTCTTTGCTTCAGATACTAATTTTGGTTTAGTACATCATTTTGGGATTTAAGGATTAACTCCTTGCACACGTTAGTGACCTAATGTTCATAGCTCATTAGAAGTAACACAAACAGCCAGTTTTCTGAGTAGGGGATAATTAATGCCACGGGAATTGCAGGCTGCAGATAATCAATAGGAATGTTTTTATCACAGACTGGTTGAGGTTGGAAGGGACTGCTGGAGGTCACCTTGTCCATCCTCCCTTCTTGGGCAGGGCCACCCAGAGCCAGGGGCCCAGGACTGTCCAGATGACTTCTGAGTATCTTCAGTGATGGAAACCACAACCTCTGTGGGCAGTCTGTGCCAGTGCTTGGTCACCCTGACAGTGGAAGAGTATTCCCTGATGTTCAGAGGAAGCCTTCTGTGGCTCAATGTGTGCCCATGGCCTCTGGTCCTGGCCATGGGCACCACTGGGAAGAGCCTGGCTTTGTTCTCTTGGCACCTTCCTTTCAGGTGCTTGTAGACGGGGATAAGGTCTCTGCTTCAGGCTGAGCAGTCCCAGATCTCTCAGCCTTTCCTCACAGGAGTGATGCTTCAGTCCCTTCAGCACCTTGGTCATCCTACCCTGTACTCTCCAGTGCGTCTGTGTCTCCTGTACTGGGGAGCCCAGAACAGGATGCAGCCCTCCAGGTGTGGCCTCACCAGTGCTGAGCAGAGAAGAAGGAGCACCTCCCTCCACCTGCTGGAGATGGATCTCCAGTGCCACCAGGACACCCTTGGCCCATGCTGCTAGGGCATGTTTCTGGCTTGTGTTCAACTTGGTGTCCACCAGGTGCCTTTCTGCCAAGCTGGTTTTGGGCAGCGTGTCCCAGTCTGTGGGGTTGCTCCTCCCCAGCTGTAGGACCCTGAACTTTGGAAGCTTCTGAAGATTGCCCGGTACTTGTTCTCAAGGCTTCAGCAGAGTGAACTTGCTCAGGGAGCTGTTCTGGTGGAGTGCTTCTTGCAGTTTTTATAATTTTCATTAGGATCTGGTCTCCTGCATATTGGAGCCAGGAGCTCTGACTTCAACTGGTAGGAAGCGCTTAGCTGAGATACGTGATTAGTTTCTCCTCTTGATCTAATTCCAGTTTATTGCTGCAGTGTTTCAGACGGTTGATTTGGGGCATGAGGAGGGGAGCAGACGTGAATCACCCTGACAATGCTGTGGAATTTTGGATGAAAAATTCACTGCTGTTCAAAGCTGCTCCTGTGTGACGAGGCAAGCAGAGGAGTAGAAGGCAGAGGTGGTTGCCTGACCAACCGAGGAAAAAGCGATGCTCTTTTCCGTGATTTGGAGCCACTTGCAGCAGCGATGAGGATGTTAATTGCCTCTCTTGACATCACCACTGGGTGCAGCAGAGCCTGTTCTGACTGCGTCTGAGCACAGCATCCCTGATTCGGGGAAAATGAGTGCTAATTTAGTCCAAATGGCAGAATGACTCATCTGCACTGCGTCTCACTATTAGCGTTGCACTTCAGAAAGCAGCTGGTCACCTTCCCGGCAAGACAGCAGTTCTTCGCTGTAGGGAAAGGAGCGCCAAGGCAGGGATGTGGCCATGGGGCAAGGGGACCAGAGATGGAGATGGTCCCAGGGCTGGAGCAGCCGGAACAGGGCTGCCAGCGGGTCCCATGGATGGGGCTTTCACCAGGCTTGAACCACAGACACAGGTGGCCTGGCAGGACTTGGAGCCCCCAGTCACATACTGTCCTCCACATAACCAAGAGAAGAGTGTGAGTAGATGGGCTGGTTCTTGGGAGACCACAGGAAAGGCGGAAAGCAGAAGTCCAGTAGCAGTGGGGAAGGATGCTCTGCTGGAAATATTTTAGTGCTCTACTCAACTTTCTGAGGTCACCTTACTGGAGAGCACCTCCTGGACACAGTGCAGGAGAGGCTGGCAGAGGCTGTGCCCTGTGTGCAGGTTGCCCAGTGGGAGGCTGAGGGGCCTGGCAGCTGCAGGTCAGAGATGGCTAATGCTCTCCAGAGCTCAGTGCCACCCAGGCGGCCGGCCAGCAGCAGGATGGTCGTGGCTGTGTGTTTCCTTGGGGAGAAGCCACAGGGCTCTGAGCCTGCGCTGTGGACACCATCCTACCCAGCAGGCAGCGTGGGCACAGCTGAGCCAGCACAGGAGCAGGTGAGGCAGGACACACAGTGGGTACATCCTCCTCCTTGCCTGAGTGGGAGCCTGTTCCCAAGGGAGCAGCGTCGCTGCCTGGCCTGAAGGTGACCAGCAGCTCTCCCCAATACTCCTCTGTCACCATCTGATATCACTCCAGTGCTTCACTAGCATAGGGATGGCATCTGTAGTCCTCTTGATCAGATGTCTAGCCACCAGATAAAAGGTTCTAGCGTGAGCTTTTTCACAGTTGAGAGCGTGGGGCTCTGTTGCGTTGGAGTCAGCTTCTCTCGCAGTGTTGGCACATTGTCCCACAGCCGGTTCCTTCAGGGCAGCAGCAGGGAGGCACACAGCTTTCACCGGTGCTGCCTTTCTGGAAATTATGAGCTCTAATAAACTTACAGGCAGACAAATGCACTCTTTGAGGAAAGGAGAATGCAAGGTCTGTGCTGTGCCAGGCAGCGGCTGCAGGTCATGTACATGCTTGGCAGCTTTGGGCTGTGCAAGGGGGAAGCAAGGCCAGCGCAGCCCCTGACTGTCCCTCAGCACCCACCAGGGCAGGGTGACAGGGAGCCCACCTCCCCCCAGTCCCGGGGGGGGGCACCCATACTCTGCTGAGCACCTCACAGACCCAGGGCCCATGGCCAGGGGTACAGGAGATCTGTGGGTGCAGGGGAAGAGCAGGCCAGGACAGCACAAGGCTCATTACAGGATGCCGAATCGGGGGGGGGGATGACACACAGGCATCGGCATGGTTTGGGGAAAACAAATGTGGGAAAACGGAGGCATAAGGAGATAAAAAGTGGCCCACTATGTGTAAAGAGGTGGCCGGTGGCTGGTCCGGCCGAGCCTTTGCCTGACAGCATGAGCCGTCCTAACCGCTGATCATCACTAGTTCCTAGATTGGGGTGAATTCTCCCTTCTTTGGGGGTGCCAGCATCAGTGGTGTGGGGGTATCTGTATCTGTGTGGGGGAGTCAAGAGGTTTGGGAGTGCTGGCACTCTGTGTCTGCCTGACTCTTGTCCGGGGGAGTCTGTAGCCTTTAGGGGCTCATACAGAATCACAAAATCACCATGGTTGGAAGGGACCTCTGAGGTCATCGAGTCCAACCTCAAAAAAAAAAAAAACAAAAAAAACCAACAACAAAACAAAATCAACAAAGCAAAATCAACAACACCCCACCGCATCACACCCACCCACAAACCAATAATTTCGGGCACTAGAGCATGCCCTGAAGAGCCATGTCTACACATTTCTTAAATCCCTCCAGGGATGGTGACTCCACCACCTCCCTGGGCAGGCTGTTCCAGTGCCTGACCACCCTCTCAGGAAAGTCATTCTTCCTCAGATCTAATCTAAACCTCCCCTGCCCCAACTTCAGACCGTTTCCTCTGCTCCTGTCATTATTCCCTTGGGAGAAGAGGCCAACCCCCACCTCTCTACACCCTCCTTTCAGGGAGTTGTAGAGGGCAATGAGGTCTCCCCTCAGCCTCCTCTTCTCCAAACTAAACATGCCCAGTTCCCTCAGCCTCTCCTCATATGACTTGTTCTCTAGCCCCCTCACCAGCTTGGTGGCTCTCCTTTGGACACGCTCCAGCACTTACGTCCTGGGGCCAGAAACTGGGGAGACTGGGATCCTGGGGCAGCTGCTGGGCAGATGCGTCTGAGCCCGGCTGTCAGAGGGCCCTGCACTGCAGGTACGTCTGTCTATGCACCCGTGTCTCTGCCTTGGTCTGTGTGCCCCTTCTGGGTCAGAATCAGCACAAACAGGAACAGCCAGACCACAGAGGACGTCAGTCTCTAAGCAACCCAGCACCAACAAAGAGATTCCCAAATAATAACACCAGAGGAAGAGCAGTGTGTCCGGAGCTCAGGCTGGGGAGGCCTGGCCAGGTGCACCCTGGGTCCCACCAGGAGAGAGTTTCATCTAAGGAGCTGCTCACTTGTAAATGATCCCAGCAGTGACCTCAGGGGACAAAGAGGAAGACACTAACAGCTGTTTGCCCACCTATTTTTTATTTAGTGAGGTGCCACTGAAGTTGCAAAATCCTTCATGAAAAGGGAGTACAGTCCAATGGGGGTGCCCGTCCCTGAGCTGTGAGAGCTTCCCAGTGGCAGCTCTGGAGAAAAGACAGGCGGAGAGACCAGCAAAGAAACCTCCCTCCCTGGTCAAAGAATGGTGCAGAAGATGCTCCCGTGGTTGTGGCAGCCCCCATCCACCCTCCTGGTTATGCTGGAAACCCTCTGGCCAGCAGCCGCCGCGCAGGACACGTGGGCACCTCCTTCCAGGTGTGGCCGTGCCGGGGGGTTGATCAGCATGCACTCCACATCAAACCTGGGAAACGGAGAGACACCCACACCACCGTGAGTGGGGTGAAATGGCACCTCTGGGGCAACCTTAGAAAGGCTCCCTTGAGGTTCACCCTTCAAGGAGGAGAGGGGCAGCCTGGAGCTGGCAGGCACACAACGCTCACCAGGCAACGTCTGTTCCAAAACACAGGTGGGACAGAAATGGTTGGAGAATTGAGGCAGAACATCTTTCTTTACTGCAAA